GCGATTCAGGGGATATCCCAGGGGGTAGCGGAGGGGCATCCGTTCATAAAGACGCAGATGGGGAGGGTGGAGAGGGTGAGGAGGACGATTTTGGTGGATTTGGGGTCGGCGTTGAGGGCAGCGGCGGTGATGGGGGAAGGTGGGGAAAAAGCGCTGGTGATTGAGAGGGAGGAGGAACGGAGGAAGGAGAAGGTCATGGGGTTGATGGGGTTGCTGCTGAAGATGGGGGAAGGTGGGGAGGCGGTGAGGATATTGAAAGAGGTTAAGGGAGGTGGGGTGGACAGGGGGAAGGAAGGTGCGAGGGGAGCACAGCAGGGGAGTCTGAGGATAAAATAAATAATACTCTGCTGTTTTGCTTGCTTTCTAGAAGTATATTTTATATTTTTACATTTTTATATTTTTACATCTTCACAATTTTACATTTTTCTTGTGCTATGATTATGTTTCATGCCCGGCCACGCCCCCAAAAGACCATTTACACCGTCTCTACCACACTCTTCTTCTCACCTCGTCTGTTTTGCTGCTCAAATCTATCCGCCGCCACTATCGCCGCCGCTCCCACTGCCTTCCCCACCTCAGGGGCCTCCGGCTTCACCGCCCCACTCAAGCTAAACCCCGGCCCCCTCGTACTACTCAGGACCACCTCAACAATTTCCTTCTCGGTCCTGCCCTGCAGCATGGCAATCTCCTTCTTGACGCTGTCCATGAAGGCCTTGATATTCTTTGCAAGCTCCGCCTCGGTGAATGCTAGCTGGCCAATGGCCATGCGGATTACGCCGAGGCGCTCTCGGTAGTCGTATTTGCCCGTGAGCTCCTTGATTGCGGTTGCGGGGTTTGTGACGACGGTGCCGTATTTTGGCGAAGGCATAAGCCCGCGGGGGCCGAGGATCGGTGCGACGCGGGCTTTGATGAGGAGGTTGTAGCTCGGCTCGTGTGCGAGGATGTGTGTGTAGGGTAGATTCCCGCCGGAGGTTTTGATCTGCATCGTCAGTTGATGTAGATTGATGTAGATGGATGTAGATGGATAGGAGATTAGAATTTGAGCACAAATGACCTACTTGTTCAAAAATCTCCTCCGTCCCCGCCGCCATTGCGCCCGCTTTCAACGCCGCCTCCCTCGCGGGGCCGTCGGCGATAACGCACACCCTGATGTCCGTCTTGATGGGCTTGGGCAGCTTCACCACCGTTTTGATTGTCGGGCCGTTCTTCAATGCGTGCAGCTTGATCGCGAGCTCGTATTTCGTGCTGACGGGGTCCTGGCCCACCTCGAAAGCGCGCAGGTACCGCATGGCTTCGTAGAGGGACAACTGCGTGGCGTCTTTGAGGTTGTATTGGCGGAACGAGGTGCGCTGCGGGCGGCGCTTAGCATTCGTTGGGGATTTCTTCTGGGGAGTGGAGGCATAGCTGCGGAAGTGGAGGGGGAGGGGGAGGTTTTGGGGTGGGTAACAGGGCCGGAGGGGTGCGAGGAGCGGGATGCTGGCGCTGGGGAGGGGGGGTTTTGGGGGCATTGCTGTCCGCCGGCGGGGTGGTGTACTGCTGAGCTGAGCTCTACTCTACTCCCCCACTCGATGAGGCGATGAGTTTCTCGGAGCGATTCATATATTTTGATAATGTTTCATTTCATCTTGTTTCAACTGCGAGACGAGCCTCACGTGACCGCAAGCTTGGCTTTTCGGGGTTGGTGGAGTAACGCAACAACACCTCGACACCGGGCCCCTCACGACAACAACAACGCTTCGGCATTAGCACCTCTGCCGGCATATAAGAGATATATACAGTAGTCATCAGCGGCCGACGTCTGCCCACGACCAGCAGTTATGGTTCTCGCGGATCTGGGAAAGCGGATTACGGGCGCGGTGTCGGGCCTGGTGAGGTCGGATGTCGTGGATGACAAGGTGCGGACGAAACCATGGCGGCCCGTCGAGTGGAAGAGCCGGATGATCGAGTATGAGCTGGTGCTGACTATAAATATCAATGCTACAGGCCCTCGACAACATGCTGAAGGAAATCTGCGCCGCATTGCTCGAGGCCGATGTACCCCCACCTTCCCCCCCCTTCCCCCCCCTTCCCCCCTCTCACCCTCCCCCAACCTCCCACCCCACCTCCAGCTAACACCCCAAACCAATCTACCTAGGTCAATGTCAAACTCGTACAATCCCTCCGCAAATCTATCAAACACACCGTCTCCGCCTCCCCCCCTGGCCCGCAACGCAAGCGGCTGATCCAATCCTCCGTCTTCAACGAACTCGTTGCCCTCGTTGACCCGCAAACCGACAACCTGTTCAAACCAAAAAAGGGCCGTTCCAACATTATCATGTTTGTTGGTCTGCAAGGATCTGGAAAAACCACTACCTGCACTAAACTCGCGCGGTGGTACCAGGCGCGGGGCTTCAAGAGCTGTCTTGTCTGTGCCGATACCTTTCGCGCCGGCGCCTTTGACCAGCTCAAGCAGAATGCGACAAAGGCTAAGATCCCGTACTATGGGAGTTATACCGAGACTGACCCCGTCAGGGTCAGCAAGGAGGGGGTGGACAAGTTCCGGAAAGAAAAGTTTGAGATTATCATTGTTGACACGAGCGGGAGGCATAGGCAGGAAGAGGAACTCTTCAGGGAGATGGTTCAGATCCATGAGGCGGTCAAGCCGGACCAGACAATCATGGTTCTCGACTCGTCGATTGGGCAGGCGGCAGAGGCGCAATCGAGGGCGTTCAAGGAGAGTGCAAATTTCGGCGCCATTGTGCTGACAAAGACGGATGGGTCTGCGCAAGGCGGAGGAGCAATCTCGGCTGTCGCGGCGACAAAAACGCCAATTGTGTTTTTGGGTACAGGGGAGCATTTGCTGGATTTGGAGAAGTTTGATCCAAAGAGGTTCGTGGCGAGGCTTTTGGGGATGGGGGATGTGCAAGGCCTTGTGGAGCATGTCCAGAGCTTGAAGCTCGACCAGAAGGATGCAATGAAGCATATTAGCGAGGGGGTGTTTACCGTTAGAGACCTCCGCGACCAGCTGGGCAATATCATGAAGATGGGCCCACTGTCCAAGATGGCCGGCATGATTCCTGGGCTTAGCCAAATGACGCAGGGTATGGATGATGAGGAGGGCTCAAATAAGCTTAAACGCATGGTTTATATTTGCGACTCGATGAATGACCGCGAGCTTGATTCTGACGGAAAGTGTTTTGTCAACCAGCCTACCCGCATGACGAGGATTGCGAGGGGCAGTGGCACGAGTGTGAGAGAGGTGGAGGACGTGCTCACGCAGCATAGGATGATGGCGGGCATGGCAAAAAATATCGCAAAGATGAAGAAGGCGGGAGCGGGCTTACCTGGGATGGGAGGTGGTCCAGGGCAGAAGGCGCAGATGGCTGCGATGCAGAGGAAGATGGCGGCGATGGGGATGGGCGGGGCGGGGGTCCAGGTGGGGGAGGGGCCGCGGGGGCGGGAATGCCGGGAATGAGAGATTTGGATATGGGAGGTTTCATGAATGCGCTGGGAGGAATGGGAGGAGGGGCGGGGGCGGGGGCGGGAGGGTTGGATATGCAGGGGATAATGAGGCAGTTTGGGAGTATGATGGGGGGAATGGGTGGGGGCGGAGGTGGGGGAAGAGGTGGGAGGAGGTAGATTGCAGGAGGATATGTTGTATACGACAGTTTTCTTTATGATGGTTTACCAGAAACTGCAAGGTGTTGTGCGCGCTGTAATGGTTTGATGAAGTGGGGAGAGAGGAAATGGGCGTTTTATTTTTTTAAGTGTGTTTATAAACTTGATATAGTTTATATATTAAATTTTTCCTTTTTTCCTTTTTTCCTTTTTTCCTTTTTTTTTTTGTACCTGTTTTAATTTTTTTTCTTTGCAAGAGGAGGAGCAGGAAAATTATCTTTTAGATATTTGAAGAATTTAATGTGATATGTGAAGTTCAGGGTAAGTGTAGCGTATATTAACACAGTAGGTACAGTACATATGTTCTGGGCCGCTCGGGCGGCATACTAAATATTTTATTTTATTTTATTTATTTTATTTTATTTTATTTTACTCATTACTCATATGCGGTTCTAGTAAGGGGACCGTGTGTTATACTAATTAGATATGCCCGGTAGATTCTGAATGTGAGATAATAAGGTCCGACATAAAGATATTGAGCTGGGGTGGGTAGTTTGTTCGATGCTAAGCACCGTATTCATAATTTAGAGTCCAGCTGGGATCCGGTATTGTGAGATTTATACATTCCTCAATATCAATACATTACAGCACCTCGCCCTAGGTTATCTACCAGTTATTCCAGGAGAAGACCATGCCAAAACCGATAATAAAAGGATATATGCAAAAGTTACTACAAATCACCAGCCTAAACACTATCAAATTGTTAGCCAAGTACGGTATACTTTTTTAAACATTTATTGAACCAAAGAACCTTCAGCCAGCAACTAATCTTATAAGGCTTGGATGATGAAATTGCGGATACTCCAGCTACTCGACAAATTACAATCACCTTAGCCAATGCCGCTCGGGCAGGCATCTTAAACAACTCGAGTTTCAGTCTCATGTACTTGCAAAATGTCTTGTGCCAATTGTCGCTGCCGATGCTACAAAAATGACTTGAAATGTTCCATTTATTGTCATACATACCAAAGTACCAGCAGATCATGACTGTGGCAACCTCTCAGCTCTAGGAAGCTGAACGAGCGCAAATTGGACTATTAGCTACGGAGTACTTAGTAATCCAATTGACCTGGAGATGACTCGGAGGATGAACCGGAGGAAATCCCAATCGACCCAGAGCTAGTTACACGTCCCACAGCTCCTAAAAAAAAAACAACGAGGATTGGCCCAACTGAAGGAATTGAACCCAAATCATCACCTTTCTGGCTTAAAATGAGGAGGGGGGTTGGTTGTTCATACCAATTAGACGACCATTTCTGTTTTCTCTGTTTTTGCCGGTTCTACAAATCTTACTAGCCTTTGGCAGGATAAGGGGAGATGAGATGATAGGCAAAAAATAATATCGGCTCAGCTGGGAATTGAACCCAGATCACCCACCCTCTGCCTGAAATCAGCAGGTACCTACATAGTGGGGGTCTTACCATTAGACCACTGTGCCTTGTTTGAGGACTAGGACTAAAGGAGGTGACTTAGCTTGCTCAACTAACAGTTAGTGGAATTTTTTTTTTTATGCCTCGAGTCCGTCCATATCAAGTATTCCAGACCTTGCAACATCCTCTCCCATCCCCTCAGTCGCCGCACGCCTCAAATGAATACTCACAAACCCTGGTCGTGCCATCAACAAAATGCTACTTGCTCGTGACAATGTTCAATCCGCCACTAATACAACAGCCTGAATCGTACAGCGACATTCACCCATAGCGCTTTTAGAAAATATCGGTGAGGCTCGCGATTGGACAGTGAAAAGATTACTCGACCCAAATAAGCTCTCCCATGAGATGACATTATGGCAAAAAAAAAAGAAATAGCTCCAGCTGGGAGGTGAGTCCACCCTCTGCCTGAAATTAGGCATCTATGTAACAGGGGTCTTAGCATTAAACAATTTTATGTTATTTTTTAGAAAGAAAACTCAAAGATACTCTTGCGCGGTGTGCGATGAAAATAACTGAGATAGGGTGTAAAGGGAAAAGGGAAATGACCTCCTGTGTATGACGAAATGGAAAAGCAAACAATTCATTAGCTGAAACTGATATCCACCAAAGCATCCTGCTGTGTATGATGAACTGAACAAGTAAAAAATTCGTTAGCTGGAACAGAGACTCTTTTTAGTCACACTGTATAGGTATTGCACTGAAGAAAGCCTCTACTCTTTCTCCGTTCCGATTGTGTTGTAGGGTTAGGTGTGGTGAAAGAAAGGGGGAAACATATGGGGTGGTCGAGTTCGGCCCAGGCAAAGCCTCGTACCTTGGACAGGAGTAGACGATTTGATCCCCGTCCTCTCTAGGGTCCGGAGACGGTGTTCATATGTGGCAAAACTGACAAATTGATAGATACAACAGTAGCGACTGTAGGTCTACTTAGATGACGTTAATCCACTAATCATCACCTCACCGAGAACTATGGATCGACAATCAAACAGGGAGATGGGGTTCTAAACCAGGTCGCTACTCGACACAAGTAGAGCAAGGAAAGCAAGGGTAGACTTCGGTCCTGAACAGTCACATATACCAGGGCCGAGGCCCTTGAAATTCATAGATCAACCGTCCGATTCCATCACATGTTCATGCAGCGAGGCCCGGCAATGTGCTCAATGGGCCGGCGAACTCTGTGGGATAGGGTCGACTCTGCGCCTACAGATCTGGTTTCAATGTGGCCACTGATATGGTCCTATTCGCCATACAAATTAAGGATTCTATATTGTGAGAGTTGAGGGTAAGTAACAGACACCCCTTGTCATCATCACATCACAATTACTTCCCTACCCAAATTAGAGCGTCCTGCTGGCTTCACACCAACCAGACCTCTCGCAGTAGAATTGGACCCGTGTCTGTTTTCTCCAGAATTTCTGGTTTCTTGCTCTTGCACCCGGCCTAGAGTGCACTAATTGCACAAGTCTAACTAGCAAACCTCCGAAAGGATAAGGAGGGGAGATGATAGGCAAAAAAAGAAAATCGGCACAGCTGGGAGTTGAACCCAAATCACTCAACCCTCTGCCTAGAATTAGCAGGTATATACATAGTGAGAATCATACCATTAGACCACTGCGCCTTTTTCCAAGTATGATATGGCGACGGAAAGTAGAATAAGTAAGCCCTGCCTCTATAGACTACATCAGAGTATCTCTTCCACCGAATTCAGCACGCATCATACTAACCATGTCGCCTACAGAGTACTTACTGCGAAAATACGAACTGTATGACTCTTATTATAACATTCCACCATTTGATTTCAAACCATGTGTCTATGGCACTGGAATACACATACCTATGATCTCATCGGTCTCCAGATATTCCTGGATTATGGGGGGCGGGGGCCAGGGGTATTTCTTGTTTCATTTCTTATTTTCATTCGGAATTGTTTTGTATTGGATTAACTTGGCCGGGGTAAACGTAATCACTACGATTAGTCAGCTTCGATTAGTCAGCTTCAAGCTAAGTATGCATGACTAGGGCAGTTGCGATTCAGGAGCACGTGAGGGCTAATTTGGTATTCTTGGGGGTATACAAACAATGAGTACATCAGCAGGTAGAAGATCTGAATTGATATATCTAGTTTCATTTCTGCTAGTTGGGGATAGTTTAGTATTGGATTAGCTTTGTTGGAAAGTCTTTGAATTTTGTAGAAGAATAGTATTTACTTGATTTGATTTTAACCATAACGACCTATAGCTGAGTGTACAATAACTATAGGTGTCTAGCCAAACCTAGGACCCCAGTGATCACGTTTTGTCCAACAGCTTATGAGCCCAGTACGATGGAGCACAAGTCCGATTCCCTGAGAGAGCGCTGGGACAAAAAGGAAAGGTATTATAGTTATTTACAATAATATGAACCCCAGCGGCAGTTTGTTGTGAAAGTTCATTAGCTCTGGGGTGTTTACCAGAAGCAGTAATTGTTGATTTGATCCGTGTGTCCGGTTCTGGGGGGGGGTATATGAGCGTTTGAGAATTCATGGGTCCCTCGGGTCTTTTCTGCCAGTCCGTTTTCTTTTTACGAGTTCCCTAGAAATGAGTATATATATATATATATAAATTAAAAATAAAAAATGGTTGACAATTGGTAGAGTTCATACTATTGTCAATTTCCTTCACTTATAGGTTTCCCTTGGAATTTCCTTACCGCCTACAGAGTATTTACTGTGATTATTATAACATTCTACCATTTGATCTTAAACCATGTGTCTATGGCACTGGAATACACATACCTATGATGCCACGGAGACTTCCTTAACTACCGTTATCACGAGCTCACCTAAGTTCCGGTGGGGGTTTATCCAGTAGTTCACCAGTCCCCTCATTCATGGGTCCCTTGGGTCCTCTCTGCCCTTTTTAGGAGTTCCCTTAGTAACGGGACCGCATAGGAGTAATGAGTATTTTTTAAAAAGTAATGACTCTGCACCTACAGATCTGGTTTCAATGTGACCATTGATATCGTCCTATTCGCCATACAAACTGAGATTTCAGTATTTAGTGAGTTCAGGGTAAACTAACATAGGGCCCTTGTCATCACATCACAATCACTTCCCTACCCAAATCAGAGCGTCCTGCTGGCTTCACACCAACCAGATCTCTCGCAATAGAATTGGGGGAGTGTCTGCTTTGTAGAATTTCCTGTTTCTTGTTCTTGCACCCGGCCCAGAGTGCTATACCGGTTGCACAGATCGGACTAGCAAACTTCCGAAAAGATAAGGGGAGATGATAGGCAAAAAAAAGAAAATCGGCTCAGCTGGGAATTGAACCCAGGTTGCCTAAAATCAGCAGGTAACCTACGAAGCGAGAGTCGTACCATTAGACCACTGTGCCCTTTATTGAGGTACTGGACCTTCTGCCTTGCTGTGATACAGGTGGACTGCCGGCGTAGCATCTCGTAGTCCATGCCATAAGTTGAGAGAAGACTTATTCTCAAAAGCCCCCAACCCATCGCAGTACTTTTTTGATTCACAGATGTGGAGTAACATTGCCGCAGTTGGCCTATCAAGGGGTCACTTCGCCAGCCTTGTTAACTTTTGAATAGACCCAGAGGAGCACGATTCCAAGCGACGTCCTTAGTGTCTAACATGTAAATAGCATGCCAGCGCCTAGAAAGGTTTTTCTGTTTTATATTCTTTCACTATCTTGTTTTCTTTTTGTTGATACAATTCATTACTATACTGTAACACCTCTCTCAGGGCATGAATGGTTGAAGGGGGGGACCTTTGCATTTTAAGCAACTATCGCTAAGTCTGACTGACGTTGGCCTTACAACCGTCCCGTCAAGCCTGTATTATCCCTTCAAATATAACAGCTGCTGCCCGCAATAATCCCATCACCAGACCAGGCCTAGTACAGGTTACTATTGTTTCCAGCTGGCCTAAACCACATCATGGTCACAGGTGCAGATTATTAAAATCAATTATTCCAATCCACTCTAACCTCAAAAGCACAATCCAGCCCAATTACAATGGAAAGAATAAAATGAAATAAAAGTGAAAAAGGAGCAATTAATTTCCCCGCAGCCATTTAAATGACAAGATGCCCAAGATGTAAAAAAAAAATATGTCATATATTTTGCCCGAATAGCTGAAGCCATCAAACATGTAAGGTTCTTAAAGACAAGGTTAGGTAAAAGTATTTGAGCATGGATGAAACCTCGAAGGAATAAATGCTAGCTACTTCAGCACTACTATATATACCTCCGCATGACCCCAGTAGACACAAGAAAATATGAAGAAAATACAATGATAAAAGAGACAGAATGTATGTTTAAATGAGAAGCTAGAGTGGCAATATGAGATGGTAGCAAATGCGATGCAAACCGCAAGGAGGATGAAAAGAACAAACGCGCCTGTGACTCCAAAAAAAGGAGAACAGAAAAAAAAAACAGAATGTAAGGTACTTTAGGAAGAGCGCAGCATTATAGTTTTAAGTGCACCAAAGCCCACGAACAGCCCACCAAACGGCTTATGAAGCAAAGAAAGATATGCAAGAATAAGGATAAGAAGAGTCGAAGGCAGAAAGTAGAAGGATATGTTCCCGAACACCAACACACAAAAGAGTTGAGCGCGAAAACCACCCAATATACCCTGGAAGGTAAAGGAGAAGAGCAGGCAGGAGAAGAGCAGGCTGGAGAACAGATCAAGATCCAAGTAGAGCAAACAAAAAATGAAACCAATAAGACCATGAACAAAGTAGAAAGAATGGAAGTGTAGTAGAAGGAAAGGTAATAGAGAAAAGTCACGAACGAATTTTCCGCCACCCTCTGGTTGGTCCCAGGCATACCAATTAACCATTTCAATCATCAACATCATCAACTAACGTGCCATTCCGCATACACACACCACCTGTGACTCCTATCCGCAAGTACCAGGGCCCTCCAGGCACCAGCCTCAGTAACCTTCACAATAGTCTCCCACACCACCCCATTCTCACACCCTATCGTATCCCCCTTCTTTATCAACCGTAGGATCTTGCCAGTAGGGGTCTGCAAGGCCAACTTCGCCGGTTTCTCGGTAGCACTAGGAGCCCCTGTGCTAATATTCTGCCTCACGGCGAAAACGTACGTGTTGTTTAGTCCTAGGTAATAGCACTGTGGTTGTGCAACATACAGGTCGTGGCGAGTTGCATGCGGAGTCGGGTGGCGTGGTATAAAGTCATAAACTGGATTCTCTCCTGTATGTGCTATGGGTAAACAGAAAGCAAGTGGATGTGGATTGTCTTTAATAGAGTGCATTAGGCCCTTTCTACCAGCGTACACCTTCAATACCGCTGCTCCAACGTCCCCTGGAGTCACAGCCTTGATACGGTATGTCTTGTGACCACTATCCCAAGCTACTTGTGCAAGCGCACGTTTCTTGACGACCTGATCGCTCTCATATATCTCCCCATCCGCATCAATGGCATAGCCACGTGCTTCCACCTCGGCAATGAGCTCAATGTCGATAGGAACTCCAACGTCTATCTGAAGAGCTTCCAAGCCCTCAAGTCGGATAAGTGAGGTATCAAAATCTTGCACTTTGAGATCATGCTGGAAGAACACTGACGTGACCACTGGCAAAGCAAGAAGCTGACAAAGGGGTAGCGGGGGGATCATGTGCTGATGCCTTGGTTGAGATGGGACATGGGTCCAGCATATCCTCGATGGAGGGGTAAGGAAATAGTGAAACTCCGTTGTTGTATTGGATGCACCACTATACAACACCCGCCGAGGATGTGTAGGAGAGGCAAGTGAGCAATCCATCATCCTCCACTCTCCCTCACATACGACCGCGTTCCAGAAGTGATTTGGCGACGGGATATCAGCGGCCTCAAACATTTCCCCGGGTGCTTTGAGATACCCAGGAATCACTTCAGCTTCTATCCCAACAGCCCTGCACATGAGCATGACAATATTTGCAACCTCCTCTGGGCTTCCACGTTTGACTTGCAGTACCCTGCGAAGATCCATCTTCGCCTCAACCCCATCCATCGGAGGCGTGGGCTTTTCCCAAGAGACCTTCTCCGAAAGCCATGTAAATATAGCACGCAATTTCTGCACCTCGGTTCGGTAAGACTTACAGATATGCATCGTTGCCAAACTTTCGGGTGTGGTGAACAAAGGGAGATTGTTGATGAATCTTGCTGTTTTGTCAACAAAAGCCAGATTAGTTGCATTCACAAAATCGGCAGGATCCTGGACAGCAGTTTTCCCATCAGCGGCCGCATCTCCATCCACAACTTCATCCAAAAGATCGACCGGGCGAAGGACGGTATGCCCCAACATCTGCACCCGCCGGGAACGTTCGTCTCGTTCTGCCCTAGACAGGGAATTTGACCGGTTCACGTCCCTCCTCACCTCAGCCCAACCGTGCGCTGGCCCCTGCAGCCGTGGTTGCCCTCCTTGTATCCCTGTAATAACATCCCCAGGTCCCTTATTGACAACAACTGGCCCAGGGGTGGGTAAAGGAGGAGTGTGGTTAAATGTCGACCTCGCATTGGCAGTTGTGGCTTTAGCACGGTTTATCAACGTCTTTATGATTCCAGCCTTCTTCGGTTTTGGTACCTGATGTCCACCAAAAAGGGCAGGATCAGATTCCGACGCCCCCACATTCGAAGGAGCAGGCCCTCTCCAGCTCTTTCGCAAGAGACTTTGACCAATTCCGGACCCGGATGCTGAACCCGATGCGTGACCCGACCCAGAGCCTGTTACAGATATAGGAGTCTCTGACCTAGCGCCCAATAATGGCGGCCTGAACGTCGTACCCTCCACCACACTATGGGTCCTCTTACGACGGTTATAGCTCCCAGCAGATGTTGCACTGGTACACCCAGCACTATGACCACTCATCAAACTTATACTCGTTAAGCCAGTACTATTAGTAGCGACAGACTGTGCGTTCGAAGAAAAGGAAGCAGTTGTTGCAGAGGACTTCACAGTCGTATTTCGTGACAATGGCGTATTGGTACTCCCACGTGCTGGTAAGTCATACATTGACTTTCGTTTGTCGGCAAAGTTAGCTGTAAGTGGTCTCCTGATCGCTAAAATATCATCAGGAGTATATTGCTTCGTCAAATCATCGCTTGTATAGCGCTTAGGTGGTGGAGGGGGTGGCATATCGTCACGTTTAACTCTGAATGGCTCATTATTAGCGACCTGAAACCTTTGTACATGGTCTTGCATTGCCTCGCTGTAACTACCACCTGGCGGCTGTTGAACGGGGTACCTCGAGTCGTAAGGGTCATCATCATCATCGTCGTCGTCAATATCAAAATTATGTGCACCTACTCCAAGAGAAGTATGAGGTCTAACAATCCGGCTTGGTGTTGCAGAGAATTCATCCCGGAAGGCATGGGGTGACCATGGGTCATCAACAATATGAGGAGTCGCGGTACGATCAATTCCATAGTCATGATTGTCGTGAGAAACCATATGTTCAAGAGACGACATAACATCTTCCATAGCAGAACGAAGCGGACTGGGTGTATGTTGATGCGGAGAGGGCGCCCTAGAGTTACCCGGGGTTAAGTGCTGATGGGGAGGTGGTGGCGGGGGCGGACCCGAGCCATTGTCATACATCATTGCATGCTCTGGAGATGGTTGGCGACTCAAGTGTATTGGCGGGGCAGGGGAGATTGCTCTTTGGTTGTACACGTTTGGCGGCATGGGGGAGGTGGCTCTTGGTCGCTGGTAGTGAGCAGGTGGAGCTGGTGAGGGGACTGTAAAATGTGCGGGTGCCGGGGAAGGTGCCCTGTAGTGCGATGGCACAGGGGAAACTGCCCTCCGATCTTGGTACTGTGAACGAGCCGGTGACACTTCCCTCCGATGATCCATCTGATAATGTGAACGATTTGGAGATGCATCACGGCGGTAATCTTGTTGATAATGTGACCGAGCCGGAGAAACTTCCCTTCCACCATGCTGATAGGTTGATAGACCAGGTGGTACTGGAGATCTAGCTCGGGAAACCGGTCTGTCCTGGTATTGGGGATCAGCAGCTCGGGACCGAGGGCGTGGATGGTATGCTCGCTCTGGAGACATATCTCTGTATTGACTAGGGCGCTTCTGGACCGAACGTCGTCCATAAGTATCATACTCGTATCCCTCCCGTGGTGAAACATTCCTTGTTTGTCGCGGAGGTGCAGGGCTATGTGAACGTGTCAAGCTCCCGCCCCCTCCTCCTCCAGTAAATGGCATTGGACTAGCAGACCCAGCTCGTGACAATGGGCGTCTTAAAGGCGGCGGCCCCGGGTCCTCGAGTATCTCGACAAAGTTACTTGGGAATGGGCCCACCTCCCGGTTTCTCCTTAGCCGTCCCATCCACCACTGCCCATCCCCTGCGTTCAGACAT